GATAGTTTTTTTATGTACATAATCTAAATTTCATGTAATTTGTTTTAGTGGATGGSGTTTGCATGTGCTCTTTTCTGCTTCTCCCCAGTTTCTTTCACTTCTTTTTTCTCTCCTTTTCATGGATAAAAGAAAATTTTGACAGAACTAGCGTGACTGAAATGAAAAAGGTCAGTTTGGAAAAGGACATTTGCTCACCAAAGCGTTGGCAAGATCAGCCCCAGCTCGTGGCTATTTTTGGCCAGCACGRGGCCCTCTGTATATGGGTCAAATTTTGCTGTTGATGAAGCAACTCAATTAAATCCAGCAGAGGCGACTCCAGGGCGGGTAATTCCCGAGGATCTGCCGGGAATCCCATTGGAATGGGTGCCTGCAGCCCCTGTGGGGCCGTGGGTGAGCTGGGAGTCCCTCACTGGGTGTGAGACTCCACATTTCCACCCCGGCCCTGTATTTCCGTGTTTCTTCATTCCTTCAGTGAAGGAATGGCTCTGGAAAATGGATCCATATTAATAACCTGTAATTATACAGCCACAGGAGGATGATACGGTCCTTCCCTGCCAAAGCTCCAATCTAATCTGACAATTTCCCAAAAGCCGAYGAGCTCCAAGGATTCGGCAGCAAAAGACGCTGAGTGAGAGAAATTGGAAGCCCTTTTTATAGCCCAGCCTGTTCCACATTCCCTCGTTTATCTGCTCCGTGTTTAGGGTGTTATTCCCATTTTAGCAAGCAGGCATGTAAATAAGAAAAGTAAAATTAAGAGGGAAAATGCCAAAGAAATGATGTCAGCGATGTTGATGGAGTTTCTGAACAGGCCGAGGGTTTCACTGAACCGACCGCGAGGCATAAAAAGCCTTTCATGAGCATCTTAAATGAAAATGTATCGATACATTTTTTTTGTACAAATATTCCCCTGCTCGATTGTGAGTCCCAGGCACGGCAGCATGGTTGGAGGGCATGTGAACCAGAAATTAAAACCCAGCCCTGGAGTCTGATTTAATTACCCTGCTAAGTGAAAGGCAGAGGAGAGAGAATAAACAGCGGYGAAGGCGACTCTGTGGGTGAAATATTTTAACAATCCCTGACTTTCATAGGCTGCATTCACTGTTTGATGTGGCTTTGTACTGACTGCACCTCCTCGTGAAAAATTGTGAATTAACAGGTTTTGTGGCTGTGRGAGTGAGGTTGGGGTGACCCAGCCRTGTGGGGTCCCCCCACATCTGAGCACAATTTTTTGTTTTGCACAGATGTCAGTGATGGATGTGGGACAGAAAAAGGAACAGCTCTGCGAGCTCTGCCAGGACCCCTCGAGTTTACAGCTGCGTGGACGCGGATTTTAATGCATTGCTGGATTTGGGATTTATATGGAGCAATTGTCCCATTAGTCTCAGTGGGTGAAATCCTGATCTCGGTGGCCTGAGTRTCAAAAACACCGTGACTTCAAGAAGCTCATTTTTTACTCCAAAGGACTAATGCAACTCCCTGTGTATTTTTTTATTAATTCTACTGGGGATCTTTTATTTAACCATCACTAAAAGCCTCTCTCCCTTCATTAACAGGGCAATTCGTTATTTGTGAGGTAGAGAACATCCCTTTTTCACTCTAAGAGTGCAGAGGTTTGAAAATGCAATTATGCAGGGGAGTCTTGGCACTAGTTCTTCGGTTGTGTGAGTGGTTAGTTACTCATAAGTAACTGCACAGGTAAGCACTTGTTCCTGCTCCTTAATTTTCCATGGATTTATTTCTCCAGGCTCCTCCCTTTGTTTATGGTAGCAGCAGGGAACAAAATACCAACAAAGTCAAAGCAAGGAAAAAAAGAAAACCCAGAAGCCAGGGAAGACACTGTCTTCCTGGTTTATAACTTTMCTGTTTTAGAAAACCATGCCTTAGCAAATAAAGAAATAAATAAATAAAAATCAGTGTTTAATTTCTCGTTGCTGGAGCAGAGGCAACCCCCCATCATCGATTATGCAGAGCATTAGAGCCATCCATCAGCCGTGATGAAATAAATACAAACTACAAAACKGAGCTGGATTTTATGCTGGTGAGTATTTTAAGGTTTTGGGGGGGTTTTGCCGTGAAAACGTGCGTTTTCAGGAAATATTTTGTTTACATAAATCGAGGTGTGTATTGTCACCGAGGTACCCAGTGTCACCCGGGTTCACAGGGAGGGTCACAGCGGGTTTCGGAAGGGGAGGGAGATATTTGGGATTTCTGGCCGCCCCCCTGTCGGTGCCTGCCCGGTTTCTCCCTGGCCGGTGGGAGCCCGGGCTGCAGGCGATGGGAATTCCTGATATTCCTCTGCCCTCTGTAGGAGAAGCGCCCGCATGAGCCGTGCTGCGGGATGGGATGCGGCCGCATCGCGCTCCATCCACCGCGGCACAAATCGCCTCCTGCGCATCTTTCTGCCTTTTAAACACATCGGGAGCGGGGAGAGCCTGGGGCTTGCAGAAAAAGGGGTGAGCACCAGCCCGCTCAGGGTCATAGGAACCTGCTGCAACCTCCGCGGCTGAAATCCCAACGCTGGSGGTGGAAAACCCAAATCCTGGAGCTGCTCCTTGTGGGGTCTGAAGCTCAGACACATCTCAGATTGGAGTTGGACCCCYGCTCCCTTGTAATCCTCTATGCTGCGCCCCAGTTCCAGGCAATTCCTTGTGTTTTGGGGTCACTTTAGACCAGAAAGGGGCCAGGAGAGGCTCGGTGGGCAAACCCAGGCAACCTGTCCCTGTTAACACTCCCTGAAGGTCACGTCTGCATCGCTTGGCTGCTGCTCCTCGGCCAGAGTTTGACCCCAGGAGCCACAATTCACGGATCCACTGCGGCTGGTGTAACTGGTGTAACTCTGGCGTAACTCCGGTGTAACCCCGGTGTAAGGGTCCGCCTGTGTGCAAGCACTGATCTGAGATCCCACCTTTGGGGTCTCGCTGCTGCGAGAGGGACTCCAGCAGAGGCCACAAAATACTTAGGAAAGAATTAATTCAGCTCTGCACAGCTGGAGTGGCTGAAAAAGTTCGRCGTTGACTAAAAGCAGTAGTTGTCAGATTGTGTATTCTTTGATAGGACTCTGCCGCTGTGCTGCCGTTATCCCGGTACCGTGAGACCCCAATCCTCAYAGCCCCGGTGTTCACAAGTACCGGGAATCCCCCGTTAGTGCTGAGGGGCCAAGGTGGGGGACTCGGGGGGGGGGATGGCTGTTTGTCACTGTCAATGTCACTGTCATTGTCACTGTCGCTGTCACCGCGGGCCGCGCACCCCGCCAGGCAAGGGGGGACAATCACCAGGTCCCGGCACACGGTGTCCCGGTTGGATCCCGGGATTGTTCCCGTTGGATCCCGGTGTGACCCCGCTGCCGTTCCCGGTCAGATCCCGGTGTGACCCCGCGGCCGTTCCCG